TATATATATATATATATATATATGTCATCAAATTCCTGTAACACTATTTCCTATAAAGACAAAGGCCCAGTCAGCATTTACTCACATTTGCACAGAAGCCTTCTATGGTGTTGTTTTGTTTCCATGGCCACTGTGTCTATGGAGATGGTGTTTGCTTGGTATTGCAGTTCTGTGTGTCTCAGTGCATATTGAATCCTTAGCCAGATTCTAAGCAGTACCAAACATTACAGTGATTTGCTGTCATGTGATTGACTGGTTAGAAATTTGCCTTAACACGCAGTTTAACAGGCGTGCCCAATAAAGTGGCTGATGAGTCTAGGTTGTTGGCTTTCCAAAATCTAATTTTACTGACACTTCAGATCCTCCATGAATGCCACCCGTTAACTTGCTTATATAGAATTAAAGAAACATTAGACAAAGACAATTGCAGTCTTTGGCATTTCGAGTTTTCATATACACATGTTTCATTTCTAAACAGCTTGACAAAGGGAGTGATCACAGATGACCAGTTTTCGGACAATGTGTTCAAAAGGATGGGTTGTCAGGGTTGAGCTTGTTAGCCAACTCTGAATACACTGCTTGTCCTTCTTCTAACATTTTCACACTGGAGAATGGAAAACTGGGTGTGAATGTAGCATTTGTGGAATTGTTTTTCTTGAGCAATATTGGATTTATTGGAATTTTAACAATGACTGAGTTTAATGTGCTAAAGGGACAGATAAATATTGTATAATTTTACAGTTTTTGAATCTAATAATGTAAATCATACAGTCGCCATTGTAGGATTGTAGTTTTGCGTTTAGCGATATTGCAAAATGTTTTTCAGCAACATTGTGGTAAGAAAAAAATGTAACAATGTTTTTATTGCTACTGAGTTCCATTTTTAGTTTTAGCATGAATAGTGAAGCAGGTGTTGTTCTGATAATAAAAAAACCACAAGAAAAAAGAAGCGAGCACAGCACATCTGTGCAGCAAGATAAGATAGATGCTGTTTAAATCTCAGGTTCATGTACCACACTTCATAGTTTAATAGCTTACAAATAATATTAATGTTGGTCATTTTTGGGACCTGTTTTCATTGTTGTTTTGTTTTAAAAGTGATGTTTTTGTGGTTTGTGGTGTACTTTGATTTACGCAATGTGTTCCATTTTGCAAATGCAAGAAGTATACAGCACCATGATATCCTGTAAGATAAAACAGCGGTTGCCAGGGTGCAAGTAAGGTTTGTCAGTCAAATGCACCCTTTTATCATGTTTTTCTTTACCAGACAAAAGAAAAATGCAAAAAACTCAGTCACTGTTCAGTCACTTGTCACAGTTTTATAGATGTTGATAGCGATTTACATGGTTAAAAAAGCTGGAGCAATAAAATGTAGATATATATATACAAATATAAAAATGATGTAAAAATTTGGCATTCAAATGATAGAAATCCAAGACCTTCAAAACCACAGTATAGAAGTCTTATTTTCTTTTTAAAAAACGTGTGTTATATGTTACATTAATTGATTAATCAAGAACTTAATCCGACTGATTTGATTGGATTATTGTTTCATGCATAATTATATTGTGCCTTACCCCAACAGACTTATAGGACACCCATAATAATCAGAGCCAGGGTACCAACATTATACTGTATGTTTCAAAGAGATGAGATGAACGTCTTGCATTATTGATTTATTTCATCATCTATTGGTGAGATCTTATTAAGTGCTAAGTGTCTTGTCAGTGATGACTACTTTGCTTTCTGTGCAGGATTCAAAAGCAGCTGGGTTGATCTTCTCTAAAGTCGTGGCAGCATCTGACTTTCGGGAAATCCTTGAAAATGTTGATGACATGGAGTGAGTGAAGATAAATGACACGTGGTCCTCTGCCAGAGCACTCTCAAGTACAAAACATACGGACTGCCGAAGCTTCTTCGTGAATTTTTCACACATGAAAACATAGAGGATGGGGTTCAGGCAGCTGTTCAGAAAAGCCAGACTCACAGTCAGAGGACCCATGATTCTAACAATGTTCCTGAGGTCTGGGTTATTCACAGCCTTTAATTCTATAAAGTTAAAAACATGGAAGGGTAACCAGCAGATGAAGAATGCAAAAATGATGGAGAAAATGATTCGGCGAGATCTCCTTCTCCTTGTTCTCTGCATGCGCATTGCACGGATCCCTATGGCCACATAAGAGACGACTATTACCAGGAAAGGGATCACAAAGCCCATAACAAAGCGAAAAATGTGGAGACTCCATTCTTGTTCATGTGTCATAGAATAACCACAGTAATATGTCCCATTATCTCCTGACACGGTGCGAAAAGTGGCATATGGAGTGCTGCAGATCGCAGCAGTCACCCAGATACCAACACATATGAGCCGAGCTTTGCAGACTGTGCGTTTGTTCTGTGCCCACACCACCACCCAGATGGACAAACAACGATCCAAACTTATAGCTGTCAGAGTAAAGATGCTGGCAAACATGTTGACTAAA